ATACTCTTTATGTGAAAGAAATTACATGGTTTTGATGGATTTATTGTGTCAGTGACCACCCTGTGTCCACATCATTTTCTCTATAGCACCATAGTATCCTTTTATTCTTAAACAGAACTGGTCTTGTGGCTTATGTTCACCAACAGAATGTGTTGGGAGTGATGGTGTGCTAGTTCTGAGTTTAGACTTCAAGAAGCCTTGAAGGCTTTTGCTTGTTGTCTGGTTGCTGTCTCAGACACGTGAAAAACCCATTGCTAGCCTGCTGAAGGGTGAAAAAAAATCACATAGAGAAGAGCCAAATCAGTCTAGTTGTTCCAGCCAACATTCCAGACATGTCAAATAGCCCAGCCAGGGTTAACCACCAGGCAACTCATAGTTACCTGCAGGTTTACCCGTGAGCCCAGGTGAGATCAGCCTAGTCCTGCCCAGGTGAGCAGAAGCAGGTTCTTATCTGTAGACTCACACTCAATAGAACATTTTCTTTAAATATCTGAGTGTTGGAGGTGCAAGAGATAACTGATAAAGCACAGATGAGGAGGAACTTGGGCAGATCAAAGAAAGCTTCCTAGAAGAACTGACATTTATTTTATAAACCTAAAGTTGAATTAGAGTTAAGGAAAAGAGAGAACTTGAGTGTGTGTATAAGTGTTTTTTCAGGAGGGTTCAAGGAAAAGAGAAACAGAAAGTATGGATCTAAGTAGTTGAGGGAATGGTATTTAAAAAGCCCAGAAGGTGATTGTCCGTAAGGCAGGAGTGGAGAGTTATGTACAAACCAAATCATGTAAGATCTTAAACATTTATTATGGAATTTAGACTTTATCCTGAAGACAGCTGGGGTTCATTAAAGGCTGTTAATCTCCAGTTTTGTTTTTGTATGATCAGTCTGGGTCCAATATGTAGAAATGGTTACATGATTTAGAATTAGAGGCTGCAAACCATTTAGAACCTTGGCAGGTGGGAGGAGATGGAGGCTGAAACTAGCATTAGCAGAGGGGATAGAAAGAGAATGAATCCGCAGGCTATTCCACAGGGTCAGAATTGACCCAGGTTGGTGAATTATTGGGAAGGAGATGAGGGAGAGGGGTCTGTCAGGGATGATGTCCACCTTTGGTCTTGGGCAACTGAATTGATAATGGTTCTATTCTTTGATGTAGAAAAGAAAGGATATAGAGCATGCTTGAGTGTAAAGAAACTTGGTTTGGTGCATACTGTATGTGGCAGGTTGGATTTTCCACAGATGGCCATGCATATATTTTCATGTACTTCAATGTGAGCGACATTGCTCCCAAAGTGAAATGTGTGTGTGTGTGTGTGTGTGTGCATGCACGCATGTGCTCAGTCTGACTTTTTGTGGCCCCTGTTGCTCATCAGAGTCCTCTGTCCGTGGAATTTTCCAGGCAAAATACTGGAGCAAGTTGACATTTCCTCCTCTAGGGGATCTTTCCAACCAGGGGTTGAATTCACATCTCTTGCATCTCCTGCACTGGCAGGCGGATTCTTTACCACTGAGCCACCTGGAAAGCATTTGGAGGTCTATGAGACATTCTCATAACTCATATGTATATTTCTTTTTAAAAAATCAATGTGGCAGACTCTTTTTTATCTTTTGTGTAAGAAAACTTACATCAAATACCCTGTCAGTGCTTGTCACATCCATTATTTGTCAAAAAATCCTTTGACAGTTTCGCCTTCCTTACCTTTGGTCGAGGAAGGAAGGGAATAAGGGAGAGTCCTGGATATAGGAGCAACTGGCAAGTTCAATGCTAGTCCGGATGGAGGGGTGGACTGACGGAGTGCTGACAACCGTGCCCTTGAGCACAGGCATTGCAGCCTCTGGATTTCCTGCACAGGTACTAAAGCGCCCCATGAGGGTGGGCATTATGGCCCTAAAAACTGGCATCAGAGCTGCTCCCACCTTCCTGCCCATGAAAAGAAGCTTGCCCCCAACACCAGGAAATAATAGCTGGGTTGTGTTAAGAAATTTTTATTGTTTTCCTTTGGATTTGTGATGAAAGCACATAAAATTACAAGTGGAAGAAACATCATGCCACAAAATTGCATAGAATTATTACAAAAATGTGAATTATGCATTTTAAATAATTTGAGATAGAACCAAAATATGTACATTTTTAGAGCTTCAGATATTTTGTCCTATCTTTTTTTTCTTCTGAAAAGGCAAAAGTCACAATGTCCAATCCATCACAAACAATATTTATACAGTGCACAAGCGCAACATTAAATTCAAAATAATGCAAGCAATGGCCCTTTCTTTTGGAATTATTTAATGACTGCTTATCTATCACAGGAGTATTAATTAATGTATGGTGATACTGAAATGTTATAATGAACTGTTAAAAACCAAAACCACATGGCAAGTCATTACAACTTTGAAAATTGGTTTACACTGCCAAAACCACGCTATTCTCAGTAGTGTAAAGGATCAGAGGGGCACAGTCTAGTTTAATACACAGTTCTACTCTCTATTACAGGAAAACCACAGTACAGAATTTCACACATTCAACAAGGAACAAGGCAAATACAGAAAGGCACAAACTGCACACCATATAGACCCTTTTTCTTTATCTTACTCTATTTCAAGTAATATTAATATTATTAAATGATAGTATCACTGTAGTAGTTTCAATGATGCAAGATGGACAGTGTTATACACTACCCCCACAACTGCAAAAAGTGTTACTGTACAGATTTAAAAATGTGATTACAGGAAATGGCCAAATACAAACGTATTGCAAAATGATTACAGTCACTAAGATAATGAAATCCAACTACTAAAACAGTTTTGTGTAAGTCAAGGTTATTCAACTTCAGTCTATCTCTGGACTAAAATTTGATACAACATTCTGTAATAATCACCATGGTGTGTTTTGGTTATTAATGCTATTGTTAGTTCATTCTTCTACAATTTTATACAGTCTGTAATTTTGTTTATAAAAATGCAGCATTCTATTTTGACCATTCTTGCTTCCTTATGATTAATGCCTTTCTTTCAAAGTGCAAAAGTTGAATGATTTACAAAAGTGTTCTCATTCAGCAGAAGTGAAGCTTTATTAAGTGTCTAATTAACACCCCAAATCCTTTAGATCAAAATATAATCATCTCCAAAGGGATGGGATTTTTCTCCCCTTGTGTCTCCCTAGATGTGTTTTTTTAATCAAATACTCTTTCCTAATGTTTGAACTAAGCCTTCATTTTGATTAAAACTTAATTGTAATCCCTAGTTATTGCTTAAAGTTAAATAGAATAATTTTCATAAAAATATGAAATTCTTAAAACACAATTTTCAGGACACAGCTAGCTTTTGTGTTTTAGAATATTTTGCTAAGCTACAATCAGGCAATTGTTTTAAAGTAAAATAAAACTGAGCATCTTGCTTCAGGGCTTTAACTTCAAAGTTCCTTGTGTTACTCTCTTAATTATATTTTCCTCTATATAATTATTCTCTCTTACTTAAGACCTTTCTATAATGTTTTTGATCCATTTTATTATAATATAATTTGTTTCTCTTACACCACTTAACATAGGAACTTAATTAAAAACAGTTAAGTGAATTAAATGTACATAGCAAATATATAATGAAAGATTTTTTAATGTGAGAAATAAATTGAAATCTGTCAGACTTAAAAATTATGGAAAATACTAGTACATTTCCATATTGCTGTCCTATATATTTTTATATATTCTTACCATTAAAACAAGCTTAAAATATTTAAAATCCAGTTTTTGATCTTGCAAAATACACATCAAAATCATATCCTAAGTCTTCAATCTACCTCAACTTGCATCAAAAGCTCCATCAATTGTTTCTTAGAATTTTGATATAATTTAATATCCACATAAATCTATATGTTTGACCATTTTCTTCTCTATGTTGAATTTGGTTTTAAGTCTTGTGGAAGAGATCTGGATCATTGCCAATTAAGAAGCTCATATCCACACTCATATGAATGTGCGTGTGTTGTGTATGTGTATGCACTTATATGGCTGCGAGCATATACATACACATGGAGATTAATGTGTATCATTATATGTGGGTCTGTGTAGTCTCTAGATAAATATTCAATCTTTATCTCTGTATTAAAATAAAGGAACCATAAAGAAGTCAGACAGCAAAATAACTGCTGGAACCTGTTCACTCTGACTGAATCTCTGCTCAACAGACATTGGCTCAGTGATTTTTATTCAACTGAACAGATCTTTGCAGGTTTTTAATGATATTAGGCCAAGGACCAACAAATACCCAGACTCTGAGTGCAATAGTTGACTCAGACAGCACACTGCCTGGAAGTGTGCGGCCACCTTGCTCATGCAGACAAATGTACAAGTCATGTTGTCAAGTCTAGAGATGGCTTCACTGGACCATCAAGGCAGAAAGCCAGCTTATTAAGTCACTGTGGTATCCAATAAAGCCATGTCAGCAACAAGCACATTGATGCCTCTATGATAAATAAATCAGCAAGCCACCAGTGCTTGCAAAGCAAAGGATGAAACAATTTAATATGCATGTCAACCCAAAGATGTGGTAGTTGAGGGGCAGTTAGGGGGAAAAAAGCTCAAAGTTGGCTCTTCAATAGTGTTAAATAATGCTATGCATTTCTCAACTATTTCTATTACTTTGACATACTTTACACCAGAGCTTCAAATAAAAACATGAGCTTGCGTTTTTTTCAAAGAAGACACTATCCTTCATTAAATGTTCCGTGGAGCCTGGAAGTTGCCTGCTTTGAGTGTACTATTAGAAAGAAAACCAGAAGCCCACATACATGCACTCCTTACTAGCAGATCTGCAGTAGTTTCCACATGACACATGGAGCTTGGGCACAGGGAAGCTGCGTGGATCCTTCTGGAACTCTCCCTCCAGGTGGATTTTAATCTAAGGGATGCCTCTCAGGAAGATGCTCCTGGGCAGTGATCTTTGTAAGAAGAGAGAGTTTTATGGAGCTGGGAGGACAATGTGTGTTCTGAAGGCCTGGCAGGAATGATCACAGAGGGGTATCAAACTCTTTTCCTGGGTTTTCTCCTTCCAATTCTTCACTGGAAGGAGGCTTCTGGTTTAGTTTTCCAGAGTCTGAGGTCATCACGGGAGGGGCAGAGCTGTGGTTGCTGTCTTCACTAATCTTCCCTTTCATGGCTTCCTGCACGAATTCCAAAATCTCCAGGGGCAGCCTTTTGAACTTGTCTTGGTATTCCTGCTCCAGTTCCACCTGCAGCTGGGAGACAGCAAGAGAGAGGGTGATTTTATGTCATTTAGGTTTCTATGAATGCCCATGGAGGAGCTCCTTGAGAGATGAACAAAGACTTGGGAGGAATCAATTAACTTCAATGGCATCCACTGGTTTCCTACTATGGAAAATTCTTAAAGAGACGGGAATACCAGACCACCTTACCTGTCTCCTGAGAAACCTGTATGCAGGTCAAGAGGCAACAGTTAGAACCGGACATGGAAAAAAGGCCTGGTTCAAGATCAGGAAAGGAGTATGTCACGGCTTTGTATTGTCACCCTGCTTATCTAACTTCTACGCAGAGTACAGCATGTGAAATGCTGGACTGGATGAATTCCAGAGAAGCTGGAATCAAGATTTCCAAGGAGAAATATCAACAACCTCAGATATGCAGATGACACCACTCAAATGGCAGAAAGTGAAAAGGAACTAAAGAGCTTCTTGATGAGGGTGCAAGAAGAGGGTGAAAAAGCTGGCTTAAAACTCAACATTCAGAAAACAAAGATGATGGCAACCAGTTCCATCACTTCATGGCAAATAGATGGGAAAAAATGAGAACAGTAACAGATTTTATTTTATTGGGCTCCAAAATCACTGCAGATGGTGACTGCAGCCATGAAATTAAAAGACGCTTGTTCCTTGCAAGAAGAGCTATGACAAACCTAGATAGTGTATTTAAAAGCAGATACATCACTTTGCTGACAAAGGTCTGTATAGTCAAAGCTATGGTTTTTCCAGTAGTCATGTATGGATGTGAAAGGTGGACCATAAAGAAAGCTGAGAGATGAAGAACTGATGCTTTCAAACTGTGGTGTTGGAGAAGACTCTTGAGAGTCCCTTGGACTGCAAGATCAAACCAGTTAATCCTAAAGGACATCAGTCCTGAATATTCACTGGAAGCACTGATGCTGAAGCTGAAGCTCCAATACTTTGGCCACTTGATGTGAAGGTCCAACTCATTGGAAAAGACCCTGATGCTGGGAAAGACTGATGGCAGGAGGAGAAGTCGGTGACAGAGGATGAGATGGTTGGATGGCATCAGTGACTCAATGGACATGAGTTTGAGCAAACTCCAGGAGACAGTGAAGGCCAGGGAAGCCTGGCACACTACAGTCCATGGGGTCATAAAGAGTTGGCCATGACTTAGCAGCTGAACAACAACAACAACAACAACAACAACAGCAACTGGTTATCTATAGAGAAGATGTAAAATCGAGGTGAGTCAGATATGTCATTTGTCCTTACCTAAAAGTCAAGTCTGAGTTATGTGTGGCAAAATAAAGCTAAAGGCCATTTATTTAATATACATACATACATGCAGAGGTGGGTCTGTTGAAAAAGTTTACCAAAGTAATCTGCGATGATGTGAAGTTCTTAAATTTAGAGACTGGCAACTACTGATAGCTGGGGGTGCAAAGTCAGCCAGAAGTCAGGCTGCAGGAGCCACGGAGTCAGCTGGAGTGGACAGATGGTCAAGGAGTGGGCTTTATGACGTGCAGCCCCACCCAGGGGCTGGGGAGCCAATACTTCTAAACAGGAGCTCAGCGCGTTTCACAAACCCGGCATAGTTAGGCAACCAACTTGAACTTCTATAGCGACTTCTTTTATCATCTCTCTATTCTGATTCCTTTTTGAATTCTAATTTTTATTTGCCTCATAAACTGTTTCAGTTGCATTTTAGACTGCATTCAGATTTATCTGTTTAGTGTTCTGGAGAATTTTCAGCATTTCAAAATTATAGAACCTTTCTTCAAATGCAGACATACGGTGGCCTCAGCCATAAAACAGGTAAAAGCCTGGAGTCTGTCTGAAGTGGGGGAGGGGAGGCGGGTGCTGCCTGCTGGGAAGCTCTGCTGAGCAGAGTTCAATTGAAACCCAGAATCTTGAATAAAATTCTGTTTATTGAATGGTAAGCAGGGGGCTTAATCTTAGAAGCAGTGTGTGAGGCCAAATGCTTTTTCTAAATGCCCAAGATCTTGCATTTCTCAGCAACTCATGGGTAATTCCACTGTGGATGTGGCTGATTGATCCCTGATTCAGATACCCTGATGATTTTCCTGTCCTGGTTCTACTCTGAGCTCCCAGTTTTGCTTTGGTTTTGACTTGGCTGTATGTCTTCCATATGCAATTTCAGGGCAGTCTGAACCCTGGAACGCCGAGGGTACAGAGAGTCCTCAGGGCACCTGCCCCACCATGTCCTGATTCCCTTTTCTCACCCACGTTCTGGACAGCGCCAGCAGCTTGAAAACATCCCCTTTAGCTCACTTGCTTTTTGTTCTTGCTTCTATGCCAAGGTGGCTCAGACGGTAAAGCGTCTGTCTTCAATGTGGGAGACCTGGGTTCGATCCCTGGGTGGGGAAGATCTCCTGGAGAAGGAAATGGCAAACCATTCCAGTTCTCTTGCCTGGAAAACCCCATGGATGGAGGAGCCTGGTAGGCTACAGTCCATGGGGTTGCAGAGAGTTGGACACAACTGAGCGACTTCACTTTCATTTTCACTTTCATGCCAGGGAAGCATGGCCAAACTTTGTTATTTAACACTTATCAGTAATCCCTTATCTGCAATTCTAAAATCTCCAGGGTTCTGAAATTAAGAAGCTTAAAAATTTATCACAAAATGGTCTTTGTGACATTAATTGATATAAGGTTATTTATCAGTTCAGTTCAGTCACTCAGGCATGTCTGACTCTTTGCAACTCCATGGACTACAGCACACCAGGCTTCCCTGTCCATCACCAATGCCCAGAGCTTGCTCAAACTCATGGTCATCAAGTCAGTGATGCCATCCAACCACCTCATTCTCTGTCGTACCCTTCTTCTCCTGCATTCCATCTTTCCCAGCATCAGGGTCTTTTCCAATGAGTTGGCCCTTCACATCAGGTGGCCAAAGTATAGGAGCTTCAACTTCAGCATCAGTCCTTCTAAAGAATATTCAGGACTGATTTCCTTTATTATTGACTAGTTTCATCTCCTTGTAATCCAAGGGACTCTCAAATAGTCTTCTCCAACACCATAGTTTGAAAGTATCAATTCTTTGGTGCACAGTTATCTTTAAGGTCCAACTCTCACATCCATACATTCAGTTTAGTTCAGTTGCTCAGTCATGTCCAACTTTTTGTGATCCCATAAACTGCAGCACACCTGCACATCCAATCATGATTACTGGAAAATCCACAGCCTTGACTAGATGGTCCTTTGTTGGCAAAGTAATGTCTTTGCTTTTCAATATGTTGTCTAGGTTGGTCATACGTTTTCTTACAAGGAGCAAGTATCTTTTATTTATTTATTATTTTTGTTTGGTCATGGCTCTTTCTCTTTATTTATTTTAATATTGATATCAACATGTTGATTATTTATTTGGAGGCTAATTACTTTACAATATTGTATTGGTTTTTGCCATAAATTGACATGAATCTGCCACGGGTGTACATGTGTCTCCCATCCTGAACCCCCCTCCCACCTCCTTCCCCATCCCATCCCTCTGGGTCATCCCAGTGCACCAGCCCCGAGCACCCTGTCTCATGCATCAAACCTGGACTGGCGATTTGTTTCACATATGATAATATACATGTTTCAATGCTATTCTCCCAAATCATCCCACCCTCACCTTCTCCCACAGAGTCCAAAGGACTGTTCTATACATCTGTGTCTCCTTTGCTGTGTCGCATATAGGGTTATCGTTACCATCTTTCTAAATTCCATATATATGTGTTAGTATACTGTATTGGTGTATTTCTTCTGGCTTACTTCACTCTCTTAGGCTCCAGTTTCACCTACCTCATTAGAACTGATTGAAATATATTCTCTTTAATGACTGAGTAATATTCCATTGTGTATATGTACCATAGCTTCCTTATCCATTCGTCTGCTGATGGGCATCTAGGTTGCTTCCATGTCCTAGCTATTATAAACAGTGCTGCGATGAACATTGGGGTGCACGTGTCTCTTTCAATTCTGGTATTCTCGGTGTGTATGCCCAGCAGTGGGATTGTTGGGTTATATGGCAGTTCTACTTCCAGTTTTTTAAGGAATCTCCACACTTAATTTCATGGCTGCAGTCACTATCTTCAGTGATTTTGGAGCCCAGAGAAATAAAGTCTGACACTGTTTCCATTGTTTCCCCATCTATTTGCCATGAAGTGATGGGAACAGGTGCCATGATCTTCATTTTTTGAATGTTGAATTTTAAGCCAGCTTTTTCACTCTCCTCTTTCCCTTTCATCAATAGGCTCTTCAGTTCCTCTTTGCTTTCTGCCATACGAGTGGAATCATCTGCATATCTGAGGTTTCTGATACTTTTCCCAGCAATTTTGATTCTGGCTTGTGCTTCATCCAGCCCAGCATTTTGCATGATGTACTCTGCATATAAGTTAAATAAGCAGGGTGACAATACACAGCCTTGTCATACTTCTTTCCCAATTTGGAACCAGTCTGTTATTCCATGTCCAGTTCTAATTGTTGCTTCTTGGTCTGCATACAGATTTCTCAGGAGGCAGGTAAGGTGGTCTGGTATTCACATCTCTTTTAGGATTTTCCATAGTTGTGACCCACACAGTCAAAGGCTTTGGCATAGTCAATAAAGCAAAAGTGGATGTATTTCTGGAATTCTCTTGCTTTTTTGATGATCCAAAGGATGGTGGCAGTTTGATCTCTGGTTCCTCTGCCTTTTCTAAATCCAGCTTGAACATCTGGAAGTTCATGGTTCATGTACTGTTGAAGTCTGGCTTGGAGAATTTTGAGCATTACTTTGCCAACGTGTGAAGTGTGTGTTAGTCACTCAGTTGTGTCCGACTCTTTGTGACCCCTAGTTTGTGAGATGAGTGCAATTGTGTGGTAGTTTGAACATTCTTTGGCATTGCCTTTTTGGGGACTGAAACGAAAAGTGACCTCTCAAGTCCTGTGGCCACTACTGAGTTTTTCAAGTTTGCTGCAATATTGAGTGCATTCAGGTATGGCCTAAATCAAATCCCTTATGGTTATAAAGTGGA